ACCGCATCGAGTGCGGGTGTCCGCGACGGTGGCCATGGCCTTCATATACTCAGCAGCTGTCTCCGCTTGCGGAGGGCCCATCATACGTTTGAGCATAGTGTTGTGGCACTCAGAGATGCGGCAAATAGCCGAGACTGTGCTTTGCAAGCTACCTATACAATAAGTGAGCGCAGGGCGTACACATCTGTCTAAGGCACTCAGGCGCTTAGCTAAGCTAATTATCCGGTTGGTCTGGGTCTCTGGACGCGGTTACACGCTTCAGTCGTGCAGCTACGATCGAAGGAGACATATGCGCCGAGAACCTTGAGGCCTACAGCTCTATCCTCCTCTCATGGGATCAGGGCGCCTCGAACGCGAAGCGAACCTATGTAAGTGGGATAGGCGCAGTACCACTCCACTGCGCCGACAGGGACCTCCAGGCCACTCTTACTCAACATCCCAAGCCACGCCTCCGTCATCGCTTGGGCCATCGAGACCAATCGAACCAGAATCCAAAAGTTGTCCGAAAAATCTAGAACACCTAAGACTAAATCATCCTCTCAAGGAAACGTGAGACGCACACCCCACCCGCTTTGCTGGCAGAGGTCTCGAACGGCTGCTAAATCAGAATCCAGAAATGCATTGCTTAATTCCGGTGCGGCGGGGCCCCTTTGGGTAAGGCTTTCTCCTCGTCGGATCGGATCCGCGAGGGCATTCCCAGGGGGGCGGATGAAAGCCCTCGATTGACGAGTCTCGCGGATCCATAAACCCACTGCTACTCCAGAGAGCGTCTTTGTATCCGGGGGCTGCGCTAGGCGGAGGTGGCGGACATCACCATGGAACCCGCGTGCGTCTCCGCCCGCGGCGACGAGGGGCGGCCCCTCATACTCGCAGAACTTCTGTACTAAGTGTCTCATTGATCTCACGTGCTTGATATACTCGACGAAATGCGAATTTAAGCTCTGCGCGATCCTCCTCAGGGGCGGGCCTCTGGGTCTCCATGGCCATCATCAAAAGCAGGATTTTCAAGGGCACCGAATCCCGGGCGATCGGGCGAAATACGAAAGCCCCGCGGGCCTCCGGTTTTTCCAAATGAGCTGCACAACATGTCCCTGCCAGGCTTTATCGAAATATTCAGTCGCGTGACTTCGAAGTCGACGTCGAAAAGCACCCGGCAACTGCACGGGCACAGCATCTTCCAATCCTTGCAACATCTCCCCAGGTAATGTCTGATTCGTCGCGCGATTTACCTTTCTGCAGCCGGCCTATAAAACTCTTCAGCAGCGGCAAAATCAGCGGCACGTCGATCTGCTGCTCCTCAGCTGCCCGCTGCGCGAGACCCAGTCAGGCAGATCCGCGTCGCTGTTCACGTCGCGGAAGAGGCCCTCGCAGACGGTCTGGGCGACGGCTTCGCGGCCAGCTGCGCGGCCACGCGCGCGCCGTCGCCCCCCATCAACTCGAAGACTGGCATGCCCGAGCGGCATGGCCTCTCAGCTCGGCCTCGGGGACACAAGCGCTCGAGGCGTTCGGCATCGCATTGTTCTCAAAGCTCACGTTTCAACATCATCACAGGCGGGCCGAGCAGGTGGCGCACACGCAAGTCCTGCTGCTGGATGCGCACCGCCTCGAGCTGCCGTAGCCGGGGCAGCTGCGGACCGCTCGGCAGCGGCCTGCAACCCCCTCGCCGCGGCACGTGGCCCGCCGGCGAGGGGAGACTCGGGGCCCCCATGGCGATGGCCCTCGGCGCTCTCTGCCACGGGGCCCAGCAGCTTGCAGAAGGCGAGGCCGCTGTTCTCCTTCGCGATCGCCTCGCGTCGGCGCATCCTGACCGCTCGGTTGGGGGCCGCGAGCTCGTCGCACTGCTGCCGGCACTCTGTCGCCCCCCAATCCGCGCTCGGATATAGCCGACGCCAGCGCTGGCATATGTAACGGACATCGGCGCCTCGCGTGGCCGGCACGCCGGCCTTCTCGTTGCCGGCGTTCCCGATGTGGCCCTTGGCCCAGCGGATGTGCATCTCGAGGCACTGGCAGGCTCTCTTCCACACGCGAACCGCGAGAGTCGCAAGCTCGACACTTTCCTTCGGCAAGAAGACGCCTTGGATCAGGCGGGGGACGCACGTGGAGCGGGCGCCCACCTGCACGCTGCTGTTGAAAGAGATCAGATGGCAATCTGCATCTTCAGCGACGTCGGGCGCCAGCAGCCAGAGGCGGGCCCCCACCGCCGCGGACAGCCCCCTCGCGTTGGACGCGAAGTGCTGCGCGCCAATGAACCACGGGTCGTGGCCATTGCGCGCGACCACCCTGCAGGCCTCCTGCAGTGGCTCGCCCCGGTCGTTGGGCCCGTTCGCGCGGCGCACCACGAAGCCCAAACCCGCCGAGGAGCTCGGGCGCATGACCCTCCGCCACCCACGACCCCTCGCCGATCCGTCGGCGTAGATGCCGAAAACGTTCGACAAGTCCCCTGTCGGTGCACTGCTCGGTCGAGGGAAGGCACGGGATCTCAAGCTGCGTGCAGATCGTCTCATTGAAGACGCATGGGCCCGAGCAGCCATGTCACGGGCTTCTTTGGCGGTATTTCAATCAACTCCTGCGCGCGAGGCTCGACGCGTTCTGCTGCCTCAATCGCAGGTACCACTCGCCCTGCCTGGCAGCAGAGGAGTAAGGGTAGGCGACCGCTGGACGCGGCGTCACTGAACCACGCCTGACAGGACACGCAACGCAGCCACTCACGATGGCAAAACATGAAATCGATCTGGCCTGGTCCCTGGCGGTCTTCGATGTAGCACGCGGCCTGGCCCCATCCACCCTTTGCAAAGGCATGCACGGCGATTATATCAAAATCGGTGATCCGGCGGAAGAGCACTTCACCTCCCGGGGCGATGTTCGTGCTAGAGAACTGGCCCACTGTATCACCATCTCCCGAGCAAAGACCATCCTGGGCAACGATGCTGACCATCGCGTGACAATCAACAAGCATAGAAACAAGACTCCCTCGGAGCTGCTCCATAGTCTCAGCGCACTCACGGCAAAGTAAGCGAGAAAATTGGTGGTTCCTGATGGCACGAACCCTTCCCCAGACAGGCAACTGCAAGTCCAGGTACATGGAGCGAGCATGGAAAAAATGCTCGCCAATGAAAGAAGGTGCGAGGCCATCGCTCACCGCCATCGCACATCTCCGCCAAGCCCCCGATGGAGGCGACACATGCACGACATAGCCGCCATAGGTCTGCCTTGATCCACCAGCCGCGCACCACTCTTGTAGAAGGAGAAAGTGAGGCTTGAATTATGCTGCAATCTCGTCGAGGAACTTCTGCCGCCTTTTCGCAAGGACCCCTCTCACATTCCACCCAAGAACTGTGAAGTCCCTAACGTCCCTGGCAAAGCGGCCCCCTCGCACGCGATACCACGCAGCTCGTGGAGGGTCGCTGATATTCTTGAGCTTCTCTTCCAGTTTCAGATCCTTCAACTCATTATCGACAAGGGCCTTGGCTGGGGGCTCGCTGCAGATCTCAAGCTGGTCCGAGTTGCGGACCCGATGCAGCAAACGAGCGGGCCTCTCTCTAGCACTCTTGCGGAACACGACCGGACTTCTGTCGCAGTCCGCGTCGAAGGTATTCGGCTTCGTCTGCTCATTGCACAAGCCCGCCCTGTCGCCGAACTCACGTAATATCTGTGCCGCGTAACTCACCCGACGTGACAGCTCCACCTCGTGGGGCTCCTGGTCCACTTTGCGCCACAGCTGGTTATTCTTGGCTCTTTCACATGGGATCTTCTGGTATTTTCTAGCTTTCATGAACTTCCACATCAATGAACTGCTAGCGAGCACAATCTGACATTGATCGCGGAACCTCCCGTCCCCGTAGATCTCAGCAATTCCCTGCGACTCCAAGGATGCCGCCAACGTCAGCTGCCGACGGAGAAGGCTCTCGACCTCATCCTTGTCCAACGCGCCAGAGAATTCAGTCACGAAAGCAACGCGCTTGGTGTTCTTACTCGACATGCGGACGGGCCGGGGCTGGGCAGCGCCAGGACCGAAGCCACAGGCGGCTCTGCCTGTCCATGTGTCACGACGTCCCAAATGTGCCCCCCACGGATCCGACTGACAGCTGCTGGCCGCTCCAAGTCCTGGTCTGGAGATGGCAACAGAGGAGGTTGGGGCCCGCCCTGACTAGAGCGCAGCAAGGCGTGCATCCTGGGTTCGAAGCTGAGTGTGCATCTCCGCCACGTCCCTCGCACCCTTCTCGGTCGTGGTCTTGAGGCTTGCCACCGACCTGTCCAAGATGTCCATCCTGGGCGCGGGCGAACCTGAGACGGCGGAGTACCTTGCCAGACCAAGCTGCTCGGGGTCCGTCGGAGGTGGCGGCGGCAGAGGCTGAGGATCGATTCGGGGTGCGCCACCGACCACGCCCTCATCGTCGGTGATGATCTCGTCGGTGTCGGCCGGTGCCTCTCACGTCTGGCCAGGCCCTGCTTCCAATCTCGGCCGCTGGGCGCGATCCCAAGATGCTGGCTCGGGGGCGCCCATGGCCGCATCCGCGGGAGCAGCACCAGCCACTAGCGCCATCAGACCGCTGCAAAATGCGCGCTGATCAGGTGCCCAGGAGAGACTAGGATCGGAGAGAAAAGTCTTGGAATCGCTGGGTGCCGTCTTGAGCCAAGATGGCCGAAGAAAACGACGGTGACGACGAACGACGGACGGCGGCGGGCGGCGGCGGCGGCACCGACGACGACGGCGACGGCGACGGCGACGACGACAAACGGCGGCGGCGACGGCGGCGGCGACGGCGACGGCGACGGCGACGGCGGTGGTGACGACGGCGACAGCGACGGCGACGGCGACGGCGACGGCGACGGCGACGGCGACGACAGCGACGACAGCGACGACGACGACGACGATGACGACGAACGGCGGAAACGGCGATGGCGACGGCGACGGCGACGGCGACAGCGGCGAACTGCGGCGACGGCGGCGACAGCGAGGGCGACGGCGGCACGGCGTCGGCCGCGGCGTCGGCGAGGGCCTTCGGGGTCGGCGCCAGAGGGTAGGGGCCGCCGCGGGCGCGCTGCAGCTGCAGGCGGCAAGCGCGCTCCAGGCGCAGGGCGACGAGCTCCCGGAAGCTGCGCGTCACAGCATCCTTCGCGGGTCTGGGCTCCGAAAGGCCTCCCAACCCTGACACGCGCGGTGAAAGAATCACGACGGGAGGTCTTTGGCAACTTTCGGCCTCTGGGGGGCCGAACTGGGCCCTGGGACCGTCAAAAAGCGACTCAGGATGAAAAGCCGGTTCTGGGGGAAGGGGTCCAGACCTCGAGGGCAACGTTGTGAACATGAGGGACACAGGAACCCGGGAAGGAATTTGAGTCGAACTTCCTTCTGATACGAGTGCTACACGTTCCCTCGTCTGGACTGCCACCACTACCTCCTGCCACTCCTCCTCATCCTTCTACTCCTCCTTCTTATTATCAGTATAATCATTAGCATTGCTATTTTTCGCATTGGTATTAGTATCATTACAAGTTTTACTATTAGTAGTATCAGTCTTAGTTTTGTTATGTTTAATATCAGAATTACTATGATTAGCAGGTCTCTTATTACTATCATCCTTAGTATTGGTTTAACATTATTAACATCATCAGCATTATCATTGGCATGTTCATCACCATCAGCATCATCATCACCATCGACAGCAGCATCAGCAGCATCATCATCAGCATCATCGTCGTCGCCGTCGCCGTCGCCGTCGCCATCGTCATCGTCGTCATCATCATCAACCCAATCATCAGCAGCAGCATCATCATCCTCGGCGTCGTCGTCGTTGTCAGTATCACCATCATCACCGGCATCAGCATCGTCGTTGCCGTCGTGGTCATCACCACAGTCGTCATCATTGTCATCATCATCATCGTCATCATCGTCATCAGCATCGGCATCGTCATCACCATCGTCATCGTCATCATCAGCAGCATCATCATAATCAGAATCAGCATCATCATCAGCATCAACAGCATCAGCATCATCATCATCAGCAGCACCAGCATCATCGTCATCATCTTCAACATGCCTCTTGTCCCTATTGTCCCTCTTTGTCGTTCGGCCGCCATCCTCTTCTCCGTTGTCCTTCTCATCGCCTGCCTCTGCCTGCTCACCCCCCTCCCCCTCCCCCTCCCCCTCCTCCTCCTCCTCCTCCTGCTCCTCTTCCTACTCCTCCTCCTCTTCTTCCTCCTCCTCCTCCTCCTCCTCCTCCTCCTCCTCCTGTCCGTAGCTGTTCTGGCTCAAGGCCAATTGTTGCAGCCGTTTTCGGCGCGCGGGGCCCATGATGGCGCGGGACGCTGCCGCCGCCTCGTCCGCGGCGTGCGCAGCGACTGGAGACGGAAAGGGGCGACAACACCTTCGCTGCGCTGCTGGTGCTAGGGCGTCTGCCGACGCGTTGATCCAGCGGCTCACGCGGGAGCTTGCCTCGGCCCGCGCGGAGCACGCGGCGCTCCTGCAAGCGCTCGGTGGCGAGGAGGTGGTCCAGCGGCTGGTCGCCGTGGCGTCTGCTCTTGCCTCGCTGCTGCGGGGGCAGCACCCCGTGCCCGCGGGCCAGCTGCGCATGGACGTAATCCTCCACGCCGAGGCCTCTGCGCAGGGACGTGGCGCGCGCCAGTCCGCGCCAGCTGCGCGGCGCCGTCAGCTGTGTCAGAGACGGTCGTTGCGAACGCTGTGGAAGCCGTACTCGTCGCACCTGGTGGGCCCGTGGCGGTGCCCAGCAGCGACTTCAACGCCGCTGTCGTCGACGTGCGCTAGGTGGAAAATGCCAAGCAGCAGGAGCTCGTTGAGGGCGTCTCTCCTGCACTGGCTGCCCCTGATCTTCCTCTTGGCCGCTCTGTCGGGTCAGGTGAACTTCCTGTTCATGCTCAAGTCGTCTCTCCTCTGAGTCATCCTGCCGCTCAGGTTGAATTCGGGAATGGGGATGTGGAGCTCGGCTGCGCGCAGGTTTCAGCCGTGTCCTAATCCTCCCCAGTTCGACGGTAGAGACACGGCGATCCTCGAGGCGGGTCTCGTGCGGCGGCAGCCTGATGTGCCTACGTGGTTGCTCGAAGTCAGTGGGTCAGATCCTGGTTGCGCTGATTGCGATGTCACCCTCGTTCGTCGGCGCCGCGGGCGAGGACGCTGCGTATGCAGGTGCTGCAGGAATCCCGTTGTACGTGGCACGATCGTTAACGGTTGCCCACGCTGCCGTGCGATGTGGCACGGTTCCTGTATGGGCCGACTGTTCGGCGAGGAGGGGGACATCCATGACGGCCCAGACAGCCGCTCGAGCTGAAGTTCGTGCCCCTGTTCGTGAAGTCGCTCGTGCTCGCAGCGGTAGCGGCTCAGAACGCCGTGGTCGTGCTTGTGGTCGGCTTCACGACAACTGCACTCAGGCTCGCGCTGGTCTCGCCAAGCAGCACGGTGTGGTGTGGAAGCCTTCGCCGATGTTACACAATCCTCCTCCTCCTCCTCCTCCGCCTCCTCCTCCTCCTCCGCCTCCTCCTCCTCCTCCACCTCCTTCTCCTCCTCCTCCTGCTCCTGGTCCTCCTCCTCCCCGTCCTCCTCCTCCGCCTCCTCCTCCTCCTCCTCTTCCTCCACCTCCTCCTCCTCCTCCGCCTCCCCTTCCCCCTTCTCTTTCTTTTTTTCTCTCTCTCTCTCTCTCTCTCTCTCTCCCTCTCTCTTTTTCTTTCTCTCTCTCTCTCTCTCTCTATCTCTCTCTCTCTCTCTATCTCTCTCTCCTTCACCTCACCCCCCTCCCGTCTTCGTCGCCTCTGCCGCCCGGGCGCGGCGGCTCCCGCCGACGACGACGGCGAAGACGACGACGACGGCGACTTCGACGACGAAGACAATGACGACGACGATGACGACGACGACGCCGACGACGCCGACGATGACAGCAGAACGTAGCGGTTGCCCGCCTCCTCCTCCTCCTCCTCCTCCTCCTCCTTCTCCTCCTCCTCCTATGCGTCCTCCTCTGCCGCCTCCTCCTCCTCCTCCTCCTCCACCGCCTCCTCCTCCTGCTCTTCCTCCTCCTCCTCCTACATTCCTTTTCCATATAGATAACTTCCCCCTGTCGCACCCCGAGGCTGGTCGAAAGGGCGGGCCGGGCGTTTCGACTGAGACTTCCTCACCAATTACGACCCTGAAGCGAAAGTATGGGCAACCGTTCACACATGGAGGGCAGGTCGTTTTCAAAATGTGGCTCTCGCATGAGCGCCGTGCACATTCATTTAAAACAGTTGCAAGAGCTTCACGGATTGAGGGCGGGTGGTTTTCAAAACCATTGACAACCATTCCTTCACAACCATTGCGAGAGCTTCACGGATTGTGGGCGGCTCGTTTTCAAAATGTGGTTCGCGTTTCAGCTCCGCGCACGTTCCTTCAAACAAATTGCCAGAAATTCACGGATTCCATGATCAACATACCAGAAAACGCGTTCTGGAAAGATTCAGGATTATGTGCAACAATTACGTTGGTTCGCGGCGTTGAAGTCCCAAGAATGGTTTTTGGCACGGTTCAGGGTCGTCAAAACGCAACCATCAAATTGATCCGTGGCGTTGGACTCCCGAGCAACATGTTTTGGCATGCTTCAGGGTTTTCAAACGGTTGTATTCCAACGAAGCAGTTCACTCAGTGGGAATGAACCCTTGCAGGGTCCTAATCGTTGATGACTCTTGGGTTTACATTGCTCCTCCTCCTCCGCCTCCTCCTCCTCCTCCTCCTCCTCCTCCTCCTCCTCCTCCTCCTCCTCCTCCTCCTCCTCCCGCCTCCGCCTCCTCCTCCTCCTCTTCCTCCTCCTCCTCCTCACTCGCCTCCTCTGCCCCCTCCTCCTCCTCCGCCGCTGCTGCCGACGAACACCGACGAGGACGACGACTACGAAAGCGGCGGCGGCGTGGGATGGTGGTGGGGGTGATGATGATGATGATGATGATGATGATGCTGAGGATGTTGATGGTGCTGATGATGGTGGTGATGGTGGTGATGGTGGTGATGATGATGATAATGATGATGGTGATGGTGATGATGATGCTGATGGTGATGGTGATGGCGATGGTGATGGCGCTGCATATGGTAATAATGATGGTCAGCATAATAATGATGATGCTGATGGTGCTGGAAATGATGATGATGATGCTGATGACGATGATGGTGGTGGTGATGATGACGATGACGATAGTGATGATGATGATGACTATAACGATGATGGTGAGGATGATGATGATAGTGATGATGATGATAATGATAACGCCGACGACGACGACGCCGAGGATGTGGATGAGGATGATGACGATGACGATGGTGATGCTTATGGTGATGGTGGCCATGATGGTGATGGTGATGGGGATGGGGATGGTGTTGGTGATGGTGATGATGATGATGAGGATAAGGGTGATGGTGATGGTGGTGATGCTGATGACGATGATGATGATGGTGATGATGCTGATGCGGATGCTGATACTTATGCGAATGCAGAATATGTTGCTGACGTTGATGATGATGCTGATGATGACGATGACGATGATTTTGAGAATGATGACGATGGTGATGATTATGATGATGATGATGATTATGGTCATGATGATGCTTATGCTGATGATGATGATGATTATGGTCATGATGATGATGACGATGATAATGACTAGACAACCTCCAGGTTGGAGGAGGAGGGTAACCACAGGAAGGAGTAAAATTAGGAGGAGGTGGTGGAGGAGGAGACAAGGGTAGAGGAGGAGAAGGACGTAGGTGGCGCTAGGAGGAGGACGAGGAGGAGACAGGCGGAGGAGGAGAAGGACGAGGACGAGGACGAGGAGGAGGAGGTAGGAGTTAGGAGGTCGGAGGTAAGAGGGAGGACGGGGAGGAGAAAGTACTCTGGAGGGGGAGAGGAAGGAGCAGGAGCATGAGGAGGCGTATGAGTAGGGGCATCTTGAGGCCAGGGGAAGGTCTGGGGGTCACAATGGGACCCGCAATGATGAGAATGACGATGATGCTGGTGATGATGATGATGCTGCTGATGATGATGATGATGATGATGATGATGATGATGATGATGATGATGATGATGATGATGATGGTGGTGGTGGTGGTGGTGGTGATGACGGTGATGGGTATGTTGATGATGCTGTT